GCTGGCGCGCGCGGGCCGGACGGTACCACTGCCGCGGGGGGGGGGGGGGGGGGGCGCGCCGCGCGCTTACCTGGCGGCGGCGGCGGCGCGGGACAGCGGCCTGGGACGTGCGCGCGCGAGGGCAGAGCGGCGGCGAAAGGAAGAGGCGCGGCCTCGGCAACGCCTTCTTCCCGTCACCCCTCAACAACGAGCGCTGCCATTGGGCCGGAGCTGCGGGCAGCGCGCAGGCCAATGGCGAGCCGCGGGTGCGGCCGGCTCCAGCGCGGCCGGTGGCGCATGCGCAGAGAGCGAGGTGCTGCTGCTGGGCGTGCTGTGCGGCCTTGGGGTTTGCGCTGGGATGGTGGAGATTCCCCAAATCACGGGGTCACAGAGTGAAGGACATTGGAAAACACCTCTGCGATCATCGCGTCACACCTCTGACCTAATACGACTCTGTCAACTAGAACATGGCACTGAGTGCCGCATTCAGTCTTTCCTTGGACACCTGCAGGAACAGTGGCTGCACCTCCAGCCCCGCGCAGTCTGTTCCAATGCCTGAGCACTCTTTCTGTGGAGAAATCACTCCTGATGTTCAGTACTGTCCTCCATCTCTGGAATCCTGCCCTGCCCTGGCCTGGGAAGGTCAGCACAGTCCCCTCCATTTGTCCTGTGAGCTGGGTTCTGCCCCCAGGTGCACCTGAGGCAGATCCACACACAGAGCCCTCAAATAAATATTTGTTTATTTTGTATCAGTGCAGAGACGGGCAATGGGTGATGAATCCAGAAAGCCAGTGTGTGGCCTTGTTGCATTTCTTCATGGAAAGGGTGGTCAGGCATTAGACAAAGCTACCCGGGAGGTGGTGGAACCATTGTCCCTGGAGATTCTGGGAACAACAGGACATACCAGTTGGCTTTGCTCTAGTTGTCACAGTGGTGTTTGGTCGGTGGTGGAACTTGATGATCTTGGAGTGGCCAGCAGGATTAGGGAAGTGATCATCCCTTTGTACTTGGCACAAGTGAGGCCACACCTCAAGCCCTGTGTCCAGTTCTGAGCCCCTCACTTCAATTCAGACATTGAGGTGCTGGAGTGTGTCTGGAGAAGGGCAATGGAGCTGGGGGTGTTTTTAGGAGGCTCAGGGGTGACCTTAGCACTCTGTGCAATCGCCTGAAAGGAGGCTGTAGAAAGGCAGGGGTTGGCCTCTTCTCCCTGGCAATTAGTACAGGACAAGAGAACATAGCCTCAAACTGTGTCAGGGAAGGTTCAGCTTAAACATTCAGAAGAATTTCTTCACAGAAAGGGAGATTAGACATTGGAATGGACTGCCCAGGGCAAAGTGGAGTCACTCTCCCTAGAGGTGTTTAAGGAAAGACTGGATGTGGTAGGTACTTAGTGCCATGGTCTATTGGCCATGGGTTGGACTGAATGACCTTGGAGGTCTTTTCCAATCTGAATGAAATATTTGTGAAATACCTCAACTCCGTGTGTAGATTGGCTTCTTCCACACTGGGTGGCAGAACACACTTGTGGGACAGCACACTGAGGCAAGGCTCCACAGGAGGGACAGGGCTGCTCTCCTGTGCTGGGAGGCTGGGAGCTGGTAATCCTGTGGCAAGGTCTTGCCATGGGATTACGGGAGTCACCACTTGGGCTTGTTCGCTTGATTTCCTGCACTGGGGAAAGGAATGGAAGTAAAAAGTTAACACTGTGCTGAAACCCATTGGATGCAAACAAACCAGGAGTGCTGGTTCAGCAGCAGGGCTGTGTGTGGGCTGTGGCTGTCCCTGCCTTGCTGCCCTGGGGGTGCCCCAGAGATCCCCAGTGTGGTGGGGCTTCTGTGGTAGCTCAGGTGCTCTCAGAAAACGACCAGGCTCAGGGTGTTATAACTGAGCCAGACCTTGGAGCAGTAGTCAGTGGTTGCTGTCTACTACCTGTAGGAAATTTCCTTCAGGGCCATGTGCAGCTTGCATCCAGAGTCCCAGAATCAATAACTTGGGAAAGTCTTCTGAGATCATCAACTCCAACCTATGACCAAACACCACCCTGTCAACTAGACCATGGCACTGAGTGCCACGTCCGGTCTTTCCTTAAACACTTCCAGAGACGGTGACTCCACCATTTCCCTGAGCATCTCATTCCAATGCCTGACCACCCTTTCTGTGAAGCAATTCTTCCTGACGTCCAGCCTGAACCTGGGCATCAGCTGGAGAGCATGTCCTCGCGTCTGTCACTTGCTGCTTGGGAGAAGAGGCTGACCCCTACCTGGCTACAGATCTCCCTTCAGGGCAGCCCCAGCCCTGAGCCCTCTTAGGCTCGCAGCCCCTGCTCCATTTCCCTCCCTGGATTTGTATGGAATGGGCACAACACCCGGAGCTGCCCGTGCCTCCCGCTCCCTTGGAGCCCAGGGGAGCCGAACCGGGCCCGGCTGCGGTGCCAGGGCCGAGGCCGTGTGGGGAAAATCTCCCTTCGTGCCCTTGCAGTGGCAGCAGGACGCCTGGATACTGTTACCCATGCCATCCGGCCCGTGTCCCGCTGCCTCTGGCACCTCCCCCGTCCCGTCCCGCCCCGGACCGCGGCGCAGCTCCCGAGAACTTTTCAGGAAGTGGCGGCAGAGCCCTGCCCAGCCCAGCCCCGGCTGCCGAGCGCCCGGCGCCGGTGCGGAGGGGTGAGACGAGCGGGGCCGTGCTCGGCCGGGCTCCGGGGGCGGCTGCGGCTGCTGCCGGGGCCTGGGCAGCGCGCCTGGGGACGGGGCCGGGGCACGGGGGGCTGCGGGCAGCCCGGCCCGGTGTGCGTCCGTGTGAAGGGCTGTGTGTGTCCATGTCCGGGGTGTGTGTGTCCATGTGCGGGGCTGTGTGTGTCCCTGTGCGGGGCTGTGTGACCATGTGCGGGGCTGTGTGTGTGTCCCTGTCCGGGGTGTGTGTGTCCATGTGCGGGGCTGTGTGTGTGTCCCTGTCCGGGGTGTGTGTGTCCATGTGCAAGTGTGTGTGTCCATGTGAAGGGCTGTGTGTCCATGTGCAGGGCTGTGTATCCATGTGCAGGGCTGTGTGTCCGTGTGAAGGGCTGTGTGTCCATGTGAAGGGCTGTGTATCCATGTGCAGGGCTGTGTGTCCATGTGAAGGGCTGTGTGTGTGTCCATGTGCGGGCTGTGTGTCCCTGTGCAAGTGTGTGTGTCCATGTGAAGGGCTATGTGTCCATGTGCAGGGCTGTGTATCCATGTGCAGGACTGTGTGTCCGTGTGAAGGGCTGTGTGTCCATGTGCAGGGCTGTGTGTCCATGTGCAGGGCTGTGTGTGTCCATGTGAAGGGCTGTGTATCCATGTGCAGGGCTGTGTGTCCATGTGCGGGGTGTGTGTCCATGTGCAGGGCTGTGTGTGTGTCCATGTGCAGGTGTGTGTGTCCATGTGTGGGGCTGTGTGTCCATGTGAAGGGCTGTGTGTGTCCATGTGTGGGGCTGTGTGTGTGTCCATGTGAAGGGCTGTGTGTGTCCATGTGAAGGGCTGTGTATCCATGTGCGGGGTGTGTGTCCATGTGCAGGGCTGTGTGTGTGTCCATGTGCAGGTGTGTGTGTCCATGTGTGGGGCTGTGTGTCCATGTGAAGGGCTGTGTGTGTCCATGTGTGGGGCTGTGTGTCCATGTGCGGGACTGTGTGTGTGTCCATGTGCAGATGTGTGTGTCCATGTACGGGGCTGTGTGTCCATGTGAAGGGCTGTGTGTCCACGTGAAGGGCTCTGTGTGTCCACGTGCGGGCTGTGTGTCCACATGCGGGGCTGTGTGTGTGTGTCCATATGCGGGCTGTGTGTCCATGTGTGGGGCTGTGTTTCAGAGTGTCTGTGGTACCACATTTATCCTGTGTTTGTTGGCCCTGAGGCTGCCTCTGTGGCTTCTGGAGCTGCCCTCTGTTTCCTTCACCACTGACAGTTTTACAAAGCTATGGCTGATGGACTTTTTTCATGCATGTCTGTAAGGGGGCTGTGTACATGTTGTGCACCACGTCTTTGTAAGAAATGCTCACCTTTATAATAAAACAGTAGTTTCACTTTTATCCCATTGGTACTCAGTTTCACAAACCGGGTTCAACGAGGACCCAGCACAATTTGCGAGCTGCCTCTGGGTTCTGCTTCCTCTTCTTCTTGCCTTTACATTTCTGCCCTTTGAGGGGATGACGCTTCCCCCAGACTGTGCCTTGGGAACATCAGTGCTGCTGTGTCTCACAGGCTAACGCTGCTCCTCAGGGTGTTGCTGGGGCGTTATCTTCTTTCTGGCCTGCTGGCCTTGGACGTTGGAGCCAGATTTGTTCTAATTCTGCATCACTCAAAGGAAACTTCTGTTTACCAATTTGATCCATGGCAAGGTTTACAAAGAGTTCCTGATATTCACACCATGAGCTAGTTTAATTGCCAAGTTCAGGAGGCGTTGCTCCTGCACCACCAACGTGCCTTTTCCAACCCTGTCACTGGCCCTGACACGTTTTCTCTGCTGCCCTTTGTCCACTTGCTTTTACCCCATTGACACTGGGTTTCACAGCCGGGTTCGATTGGACCTGTCACAGTCTGTTAGCCACCTCTGGGCTCTGCTTCTCACTCAGCTCTCCCTGCCCCAGTTTTCTTCTCTATTTGTAAAGCTTCCTACTAAGGCACCTTGAAATCTGCATTAGGCATAGGCATTTATGTTCATGTCTTTTAAAGTTAATATTGGTATTTATTCTGATGGTGCATAATTGCTCCATTCCCTGCTGACATGTTGGCTGGAAAAATTCAGAGGTTTTCTTTAGGAATAGAAGGCTCTCTGACATCTGTCATGCTGCATTTCTGTGCTTGTTGCCTCCAAAGCTTTCAGTAACATACATGTAATCTTTCCTACCATGTTGCTGTGATTATGAACTGTTTCCAGCCACTCTGGATTGGGGCAGGAGCCTTCATTGTGCACTTGTGTTCTTTTTCAGAGCCATCTTTCCTCCTCTCCTTGTCCCAGCTGCCTTGTGGTGCTGCCAGTGCCTGCCTGTCTGGCAAGTCAGAGCATGTCTGGACCCTGTGGATGAGATGCAGAAGATGGCAGAGCTGCTGGGGCTCAGGGATGAGTGCAGGGAGGGGACTTTGGGGGCTCCTGCCCCAGCTGGCTCCTGCCTTGCTGACAACAGACTGAACCTGGATGTTTATCCTGACGGCTGCCGCCGTTTCCTCCAGCTGTTTGAGGAGCAACAGGGAGAGCTGGTCCAGGTTGAGTTCCTCCGGCTCAGCAGCAACGATTGCCTCCTTGACACCACCCTGGGCAGCCTTCCTCATCTGAAGCACCTGAAATCCCTGGTGCTTAAAGGTAAATTCTGGGGCCCATCACCATCCAGCTTTTCTAGGCTCAGATTTTTTGTTAATCCTTTTCTCCATATCTGCAGGACAAACTGCCCTTGGAAGTGTTTTGTTCCAGTGCCCCTTACCTCAGCTTTGGCTCAACCTTGCTCAGAGCCGAATGCAGATTTCAACAAGATGCACCTTCTGGGCTCTTATTTCCTCCCTTTGTTTTTACAGCTGCCTGGGGAGTGGGTTTTTGGAGTCTTGTTGTGTTGATGCTGCAGCATTTTCTGTAGCCATTCTCTAGAAGAGCATTTTTGGAGTTATGCAAGAAGAGGGGGATTGAAAGGTGTTGAGTCTTTTGGTGAATATTCAGCCCCTATTTCATTTTTGAGAGTATAATAAGCTGTATTTGTTGTGTTTCTGTCTGAATCAATCCATGCTTAATCCTTGCTTACTGTCAGTGACTGTAGGTTTAGCAAAGTTCAAGACAGACCAGAAGAGGCTGTTCCAACATTTTATCTAAAGTAGGACACAGGTTATGTCCTACAGGTAATTTGGTAAAGTGTAATAACTGTTACAGCTATAAATATTAGGTCATAATTTGACTGTCTCATCCATTTATTGTGGTAGGATATCAATACAATTTGTACAATTTCTGTATCAGACTGAATAATTTGCTCTTTGGGAGGTAGAATTTTAAAAATAAATAAGAACAAAAAGGGGGAGTTTGGGGGCAGAATTCAGGATTCCAGCTGAAAACTGAGAAGTCTGAGGTTTGTTTCTATATCTGTCACAAATTTCTCATGTGAATAATTTGATTTGTCTTTCCTCCCTTTAGTAAGGTGGCAATAACAGCAGTTATTTTATCAGTCTTGTTTTGTGAGATGTACACACACCCTGAGAATCCTGAAGTGCAATAAAGCAGTTCAGTAAAATCTTATGTACAAAGTGGAACATGCCTGTTGGTTGTTCTCATTTTGTACCATTATGCAGCAAAAAAAAAAAAATTTGGTGCCCTCTGCTGTATATGGATATAAATAGAAAACAGTAGAGAAGGAGTATGAAACAATGATTAAGTGGAAAAGTTTGGAAGTTTGCTTTTGTTTGCTCAAGTTATTTTCCAGGGGTGCAGCCCTTCTCTAATTTGAGTGTCACAAGCTGGGATATGGAACTTTCATTCTTCCCTCTCTGTGCTGTCTGCCACACAAAATACTGAATTATCCACTTTCCCTCCCACATTTTCACTGCTCTTTCCTCAGGTGTGCCCTCCAGTCTTGCAAGGGCAGATTTCAGTCCTCAGGCCTGTTTGCTTCTCAGCAGCATGGATAAATCCTTGAGGGCAAGGACTATTTCCTTGATCCATAAAGTGTTGTTGGCCATTGGTAGTGAGGAAAAAGTGGGGAAGGCGAGTGGGATCTTGGAGGTGTATGGGCCACCCTGCTGAAGTGTGGTAAGTGTGTGGGGTGGCCTGGCTCGTTCTGAGCCTTGACTCTAGATGTGTTTAGCAGAGCTGTGCTGGTTCACTGTGGCATCTCCTGATTTCATAACAGCTCTCCACTGTTACACCCCTTTCACTGATCAGAAACTGAGGCATGGAGCAGAAAACTCACTTCTCTGAATACTTTGTGATTAGTGCTGCTCATTGTTATGAGTAACTCCCCATCTTGTGGATCTCTATGCTGAGTCTCACATGAGGCTGTCCAGGTAGCATACTGACCTCTTCTTCCACTTCCCTCCACCCAGGTGGCCATGCTAGGGATGAGTTTGGTTCCTATCAGCATGGCTCCCTGACAAGCTTGCCACCAGACTTTGGGAACCTCAGGTGTCTCACCCACCTGGATCTCAGCTTCAATAGACTCTCCACCTTGCCAAGCTGCATTCTCCACCTCCCCAGCCTCCGTGTGCTCATGGTGAGCCACAACAGCCTGGTGACACTTCCTGAGGACTTTGGCTGTCTGAGCAAACTGACTTTCTTCTCTGCAATGAAAAATCAGCTGAAGGACTTACCTCAGAGCATTGGAGAGCTGTCAATGCTGCAGGATCTGAATCTCTCAGAAAATGCTTTGGAATTGCTCCCTGAAGAAGTTGGGAATCTGCACAACTGCACAGAGCTGGATCTCTCTGGGAATCGCTTATTGAGCATCCCAGACTCCCTAGGTATGTGTTTTACTGGGGAAGAGAAGGACATGGGCTTGCCAAGCTTTTGGTACAACTTCTGACACCCTTGGTCTCTATCTCCAGAGTTGTTAGCATAAATCATTTTATATTGGAGCCAAATGGAAAGAGTATCCAGAAGGATCGTGCTTGGTTCAGTCAGTGCCTTTGAGCATTAACAACTCTGGACCACCCTTTCTGTTTCTGTGAATCAGTGACACTGCTGAGATTTCAATACAATTTACAATGACTGAGGATCTGCCCTGGCTGGTTTTGGGTGGCAGAAGAGCTGAGGTTTGATGGGGTGAGAATCTGGGCCTGAAATCACACTGTCCAGTGTGGACCAGTCCACAGAACTGGGCTGTGACTTTGGCTGCCCACCTTTCTGGGTCCTTTATTACATTGTGACCCAGGTTGTTTTTGATGCTGTTACAGAGCTGTCTTACTTGTAGCTGAAAAGAGAGGACAGAGGAGGCTGTGTTGCCTCTCAGCTAATTCCTTGCACTCCTTTATTTTGTGAGCTAAAGGGATGTTAAGCTTTTGTGCTTTTCCCTCATTATGTGTGTGTTTACATGGGCTGAGGAGAGAGGGAGGGTTCGAGCTGATATGCAGTTCAATTAACAGCACGGATGGGGGGTCACTTCTTGTTCCAACCTGCAGCCAATTTGAAGTCTCTGCATCGGCTGCATCTGCACAGCAATCTCCTGGTGACAGTCCCTGCCTGTCTTGCCAGCCTGCCCAACTTGTCCAGACTTGATCTGCAGAACAACAGCCTGCGTGCCATCCCTGCTGAGATCCAGGCCTTGCCGTTCGTGCACGTCCGTGGCAATCCCTTGGGAGAAACGGAACCGTCCCCGCAGGCTGGTAATTGCAGGGCTTCTGCTGCTGTGTGTTCTGCCCAGCTGTTCCCTCACTCAGCCCAGCATGGTGTAGATGGGTTTGGATTAGAGAAGACAAGCAGGGGGGAATCAGATCAGCATTTCTGTCTCTGGAATAATTATTAAGTTGTAAGGATACAGACAGTATTAGTTATGTTTTTGTGAGGCCTATCCTGGTCTGAAGGGCTCAGTGGTCCCTGGAATTGGGCTTTTTGGTAGGGTTTTACAGTGGAAGTGAAAATGGCACTCACAGGAAACAGATCAGGAGACCCCTAAAGGGGTCCAGCCTTTTTAGCAGAGGTAAGCACCAGTTCCTGGACTTGCCGCATGGCCCTAAGGCTGTTGTGGCTCATGCTATAACCTCAGAGAACAGCAAGGGGTCATTCTGCTGTGCAGTTACCTCCTGCTTTCCTGAGGTTCACAGGCTGCAGAGGAGCAGCTCTTAGTCTTAGAGGAAGGTGATGAAATGAGCAGGAATCTGAGCAGGGTTTTCCAGTGGTGCTCATGTTCACAAGAGCAAGCACTGATTCCTGGGGTGTCCCCAGGCAATCAAACATGGCCCCGAGAGCTGCAGAGGGAAACTGAAATATTTTCAAATTCCCTCTGCTTCTGAGTTTCCCTGGGGCAGTGCTAGCATTTTCAGTATGTCCTGGGACCTCGAGGCCACATGCCATCCTCTTGCTGCAGTGTGTTCTGGGGCCCACTGCAGTGTGACCAGGATTCCATTAATGACTTCTGTCAGATTAGGGTTAAGCCAAAACTGTTCAGCCTTTCTTTGTCTACCTTGGTTTAAGTAACCTCTGTCTCCTTCTCCTACCTAAATCTTCTTATTGCCACAGATAAATCCAGTACCAGAAGGCTTAAAAGACTCTTCCTTGCATCAGGAGAGGGCAGGTAAGCCTCTGTTATTAAGAACTTACATTACAGACAAGGTGCATGGTGGGTATTGCAGGAATGTATAGCATTCCTCAGTAGGCCAGTAAAACACAAGTATGAGATTATTCTGTTGATTTTTGGAGGGCTGAAGTCACTGCACAATGTCATAAATTCATGCATGTCTTCTGGAAGCTTTACTGTCACCTCTGAAGGCTGCAGAGTGGTCCTGGCCTGTGGCATCCATTTCTACTTTCCTCCGGGGGCTGCCTCTGCTCCTCTGCGGATCCACTTCCGATCCCTCACGCCGGATCCGCAGTGGGTGAAGCTGAGACACCACGATGTCCTGCTGAGTAGAGTCCTGGAGCTGCAGCCTCATGGCATCCAATTCCAGCAGGTGAGGATACCCCCAGGTCACCTCCTGATGAATCTGCCTTTGCAGTAAGCTCAGTAGAGTTTTCTGAGAGCGCCTTTTGGGACCTGTGAGACAGTTACCCGCATCCCTGGTGCCTTTCAGTAGCTGCAGGACCCCCTCTGAAAGAAGCCCTGCTGCAGAGAGAAAGGAGACAGCCAGCTTCTGTGATACTGTGCTGATCTGGCACCTTTGCCTTGCCCACTGTTCCTGATTGAGCTGAGCTATAACCTTTCTCACTCACAACCCCCCTGCTCTACCAGAGGCTAAGTCCAGCATCTGGCCTTAGTCTGGAAGGAGAATGGTTTGCATCCTTCTCTAAGAGTCTGACTGTGTGGTTTGCATTCAAGCTGGGGAGTAGTCACACCACTTGCCAGCCCCATCATGGCTGACAGCAGCTCACTGCAAAGGTTGCTTTGCCCTTTTTGCTCAGAAGCTGCTGAACCTTTCCTACCATCAAAGTCTATAGCAGACTTGACATTTCCTGTCGCCTCCCTGGAGATCACAGGGCAGAGCAGGTTCTTTGATTCCCTGCACACAGGCCATGCTCTGCCCTCCCTCATCTGCATAGGAAGCCACAGAGCAGAGCTGGCCTTGGTTTTATCCTTTCAGTTGGTGTCTCATAGGAATGCTTTTTTGCCAGGAGGTGCAGATCTGGATGCCATTTATCTCACCTCAAACCTCTCACCAGCATGAGGTGGTGGTTCGGACCTTCAGTGGGCAGAGCTGGAATGATCTGAAAACGAGAGTGAAGCAAAAGAGAAAATCAAAGGTGGGCAGATTGAAATTACCAGTGACACACTTTGTTCCTGTTCCCCTCTTTGGTTGTGCCCAGCCAAGAGTGAGCCTATTTGAAACATCTCATGAGCTGTGTTTTGACCAGCTGCAATAAAATTTAGTGAATTTCAGCTCCAGGTTTCCTCTCTCATGGAGAGAGTTAATGAGTTGCATCCTGCCATGTTTCATCCCTGATTTAGTACTTTCTTCTGCTTGGCTGGTACTCATTTTCCTGCCTTTATTGTATGAAGTTACATACCTATATGTTTTCTTCTTTGTCCTCTGTCACAGAAGTGTGTGGCCCACTGTTGTGTCCTTCACTTCTCTTGGTTCCTTGTTGTGTCTCGACTTGTCCAAAACGAATGCAAAGTGCCAGCAGAGGGGACATTGCTCTTTTCCAGTGTGGATCCAAACATCAAAGTGATCTTTCCTCCTGGAGTCACCCAAGAGCCTCGTAGTGTCAAGCTGCAGGTATGCATGCTTTTTGGTGAGCTCTGGTGCAGCTGTTTCCTCATGTTCAGTACAGAACCGAGCAAAGATGTCTGCCCCAGGATAATTTATGTCTAGATGTGGTTGCTTCATGGGCTGACCCATCTCAGATCACCTTCTCTCCTCACTTCCATGCAACATGGGCCTTGCTCTGTGCTGTCCTGTGTGGGAAAGGAATCTTCAGCAGACCAGTGGGTAGCTGCTATGAAGGGAACACAAAAAGATTTTGCCTCTTTTTCTCTTGCAAAACTGACCCTAAAAGAACAGCTCAGTGAGAACTGGGGGTGGCGGGGGAATCTAATGTGGATCTTATTCTAAAATCACCCCACTTAAATTAATTGTTCTGTAGAGCTGCTAGATGCTCTTGTAATACTTTAAGTCCATCCCAGCCTGCCAGGTTGCCAGACTTCAGCTGAAGTTCACTGTGCTTTATTTCTCAATGGGCCCTGCAGCAAGAGCAGCATTTGCCTGCTGGGTGCTGGAGAGACTGAGTGAGCAGTGTGGGAATTTGGTGCCTGACTGCTCTGCTCCCTGTGCTGTCTGCACATCCAGGTGCTGCCAGTCTCTGCAGAAGAGATAGAGGAAATCACAGCCCATGCAGAGTGCAGAGCCAGTCCCCTGCTCTACCTCTCCCAGGACTCCACAATGGATTTTCTCAAGCCAGTGAGAATTCAGCTGCCTCTTCCACCCGGAGTCACAGGTCAGCTTATTCCCAAAATTGACAAAGAGAAATGCCATGTTTGGAAAACCACAAAGGGCAAGAAAGAATTTTATTTGCCTCTGCTGTTGCTAATAAAGCTTGCTGCTTTTCCTGCAGGAACAGCAAGGCGTGTCCGCTGACTGCGTGGTGGTGCAGAGCGGTGCAAGCTGAAGGTAGTTCAGGTCCATCAGATCAGGGCTGGGGTTCACAGAGCAGACAAGCTGGGAGAATGGTCTTGGCAAAAGGATTTCTCTGCCAAACCACATGTGTATTTTAACTGCTGGTTTTACTGTGGTGGATTGGAGAGGCACTCCTGCCCACTGAGGAGATGCATTGTAAAAGGCTTTTGATTCATGACTGGGAATAGCTTGAAGCAAGAAATGAACATGCTGCCTCCAGGCGTCTGCCTTCTCTTTTCCTTGCATATGAATCAGGTGCTGAGCCACTGCATTTAGAAATATATGATTGTATGCTGAGCCACATCCCACTCTGAAAACTGCTAAAAACAGCCTCAGTCATGGCAAGGATCCCTCTGTTTGCTGAGTACCCTGAGTGTCCTTACTCCTATTTTCTTTGACCTCTCCTGGTTTTCTTGTAAAGAAATACATGGCCTTCATTATAACACTACCTGGTATTTGTATGCCTGAAGTGCATCAGGATTGAAAAGTGTGTGAGATGTACATTAGAAAGAGATGGAACTTTATTAATAACCCTAGATTTTAGTGATGAGAATTGTCTAATGAATCTGTTGGTGGGAATGAGCATACTATCATTTTAGCTCTGCATATTTTGCCAGAATATGGGATAGCCTGGTCCTTTTATTGCTGCTTTTCTTTGCTGAAGAGAAGGCTGTGAGCCCTTACTTGGTGTCTTTAAAAAGTAAATCACCCAAACCTGTGGCTGGGTTTGTAAAGCCATGAATAAAGGTTTCTGCTGCATATAGCATCTCGTGATCTTTGATGTCTTTAGGGCTGAATTTGGATCGGTCAAGGCTGCATATACTCCACGGTGACCTGGAGGGCCAAACCTGGAATGACATCACCAGTGAGGTGGTGCTGGAATTCACCCATCTTTATGCAGTGTTTGAAGTCACTCACTTCTCCTGGTAAGTGCAAGATTAGTCCTGAGGAAAAGATGGGATGTTCCTCTGCCTTGCTTTTCCAACACTCTGACCAGAGGCCATGACATTACCTCTATCTGTTCCCTCTTCCTTTTACAAGTCAGGCCCGGTGTAGCACTTTGTCTCTAGCTGTCATTCTTTCCAATCATGTGGGTGTGACACTGGCACCTTTCTCTGGGTAGAGTCCCTCATTTTTTTAAAATTCCTTGTCTCCAGGTACTGGCTGTGGTACACCACCAAGACCTACATTGGAGGCATTGCCAAGAAGGTCTATGAGCGGCTGCGTCTGTACCAGGTGAACTTCATTGTGCTGCAGAGGAAGAGGGATCCCGAGCAAGTCCTGCTGCAGTGTGTCCCCAAGCACAAGGTCTGATGATCTGGGTTGCACTGCCTTGCTCCTGAGCTTCCCAGGCTTCCTTTTGTAGGATGCAAAGGCAGCAGTGCACCAAACAGTGACCAGGAGTGTCACCACACTGTTGGTGGTGTGATACTGACTCACAGGGTGAAGAAAAAAACTCGTTCTATCCAGTGGCAAATGCCATGCACTGATTTCCTCCCCTGCAAACCCTGAGGTTTGCAGGGCTGCTAAAATCAGCTGAACCACAGTTACTGGCCATGTATATGCTATTATAATCCAGCAAACATGAGGTAAAACATGTTGCCTTAAATTTAAGTCAAAGTTTACACATCACTTGTCTGACATGGGCTAGTGGTGTGGGCAGCAGCACTGCTTTGTTTTCAGCTGGAGTGGTTAGAAATGGTAATTTTCCTAATGTTCCTTGCTGTTCTCAGTTCAAGCACGGGAACAGAACATATGAGCACTACTTAGTCTGCTTTGATGCAACATCAGGTTAGTTAATGCAATGAGTGTGAGCTAATCTGGCTGATTTTGTCAAGGAGATGGGAAGTGCTCACACATTCTCTTCTGCTGCCTCTTCCTAGGGGTATCAGCCCTCAGCAGTGTTGTTTCAGATTAGTGTGAGCATGAGTGTGCAGCTGTGGAGAACGTGTCCCTTGGCAGGCAGTGCAGCTTGGTGAGCTGAGGGTTGTTTTATCAGACTGCCACTACTGGGCTGCATATCCAGCTCTGCATAATTCTCTGCTCTGGTTGCTCCTTCTCTTTACCTGTGCCCCTGTATTGAAGTGACCTGTGGACACAAACATCTGCAAGGATTTTTTATATTGGGTTGTGGGCTAAAACTGTCTCCAGATGAGGCATCAATGACACTCAGTGTGAGATGGTTGTTTGGGTGTGTCTGTAATCCTGCTGGAAATGGTCATGGAGTGAGAGAAGTTTACTGTTACAATAGAAGAATCTAACCCAACTCTTGCACTGCCACTGTGATCATAGGCTACAAAGCCAAAATGAGCTTTCTGGTGTCCTCAGCTGTGTGCTGTTGTAGCATGTGGCTTTTTGCAGAGAAAAGGTATTTGAATAGTGAGTGGGATATGGTAGCAAGTAAATCTCTCCTTGCCTTTGAAGTTAAAAAGACATATTAAAAAGGCAGAGACAGTGCTGAAATGCTTTTTTAATGTGTCTTTGTTCATTTGTTTACATCCCTTTAATGTAAATTAGTCTTCCCTGTTGAAGGTGAGAAGAACATCATGGGTATAGCAACATGGGTTGAGGGACAGATGTGCTTCTGACCAAACACTGTTGTCCTTGTCAGGTTGACCCAGTGCTGAAGAAGCTGCAGGACCGCTATCGAGGACCTGAGCCATCCGACATGGTGGAGATGTTTGAGGGAGAGCAATTTTTTGCAGCTTTTGAGCGAGGCATCAGCATTGATATGGGTATGGCAGTACTGGGCTTGTTCTGCTCCTACCTCCCTCCCTCCCTCTTGTCCTGCTCTGGCCCTAGACATGTTTCTGCTGTGGGTTGTACTCCTCCATGGCATTCCTCTCTGCCTCCAGCTCCCCCACTACTCACAGCAGCCAGCCCCTGGACATCGAACTTGTCACATTCTCTGGTCACATAACTTTTCTGTCTACTTTTCCTTATGAAAGTGCTGTTTGCAGACTTTCATTTCTTCTCATGCTCTTGTAAACCTGCAGAGGGCAATAGCCAGGTGGGTTTATTTTTATGACTGATCTGCTTCTGCACACTTTTCTCCACAAGTTGAATGCTTCCTGCTTTTCTGCACAGATCGCCCTGACTGCGTGGATGGACGTCTCTCATTTATTTTTTACTCCCACTTGAAGAACATGAAGGAAATCTATGTGACCTCCCCTGTGGACAGAAAAGACCAAGCTGTAAAAGGCCAGGTGAACAACCAGTTACACTGACTTCTTGTTTCCTCCTTCACCATTGCTTTTACAATACTCATTATAATAATATCTGAGTGCTGTGCATGACTCTTTTCCTACCCTCTTTCTCTGCCTTTGCATTTCACTGACTAAACTCTGAACAGTCAAGAAGGGTAATCTCGAAGGATCACTCATCACTTAACTGTCTGACTTACATTCCTGCCATTAATTTTTGGGGTGCTGGCAGAAAGTCCAGCCTTCATGGCAGAACCTCAGTGCTCCTCCCAATTACACATAATTGAGAGGCCATTTTTGTGGGCTGAGGATAGATGAGAATGCTGAATTCATTCTTTCCTAAATGGAAAAGACATGGTGCCAATAGGCTGTGCTACTGTGCTTGGATCAGAGCCTCACTACAATCTTTCTCTTTGCAAAGGTCTCTTTCTACCGAGGAGCAGTTCCAGACACCATCCCTGAAGATGCCAGCAGGAGGAGAAAAGGTCCAGACTCCCTCTGGCTTGCTACTCTGCCCATCAAACTACCTGTAAGTTGTGTCCTACAGAAAAATTAATCTAGATGGGGTAAGAGCATGGCATTTCTGCTCAGCTGATTTTGTTTCCTCCATGAGAAGGCATGCAATGAATGAGCACATGGAATAGCTGCCCTGCTGTGTCATGGTGGAGATTTTGCACTCCCTGTGAGCAAGCTCTTCTGAAGCAAGAACATGAAGAGCTGGGAGTGGTCTCCACCTCTCCTGCTCATCTTGCCTGTCAAGCACAGGCTTGTTGGGTGGGTGGTCAGAGAGTCAGAGAGGGTGGATCCTTTGAATAAATGAGAATGTAGTATGCAAGGAAGCTTGTTGTAATTAAGGGAAGTGTCTGTTTTGTTTATAAATTTCTTAGTCACACAGTTCATGCAGCAGGAGAAAAGAAAGGAATAGGATGAGGTTGTTATGCTGGATTTGAACATAGACATTGAGTGCAGGTATTCTGCAGTGAGCTTTAAAGGCTGGGTTGTAGGTTACAGTGAGAAATGCAACTTTTGCATTAAGTGACATTTGAGAAGCCTAAAACAATAAATACCTCAGTAGGCTGAATACTTCCCTTCCGATCACGTGTGATGATCTCACATCCCTTTCTGACACATGCAACCTCAACTACAAACCTGCACTAAGTGCTCTCTTACTGCTGAGGCAAATATGCTCCAGGGATGTGGCTTATTTTAAACTGCTCTGTAAATGCAGGAAAGGAAATTTCTGATGTGAGCTATGACTGTGAGCATTACAATTTGATATTTTCCTGAGGCAGTGAGCACTGCTGGTCACTGCCAGTGTAAGTCCTCCTTCCTTCTTGTAGCCTGACCCTTCAGCCCCAAGTACTGCCTTTCTCCCAGTAGACGGAAGGAGATTTCACTGTGGAGACTGAGTGGCCGGACACTTTTCTATGAAAAGAAAGAATGTTCTCTCTCTCTCTTCTTTGTGACACAGCAACTGAAACCCCGGTGGGATGAGAACCCCAGTCCCCTGTATGGCTTCTCCTTCCCTCCCTTGAACCTGGGCAATGCTGAGACTGGCTACCTGACACAGGCAAACCTGCTGAGCATTGCTAGGCGTGTGGGAGCTGACTGGCAGAGCATTGGCCTCAACCTGGGCCTGACCTACCAGCAGATTGAGCGGATAGGATACAATAACAGGTGAGAACAGGACACAGTAACCAACAGTGATGCATTATATATGTCTGTCATTCTATCTGCAGTGTAATAGTATAAATCAATGCTTGGCTGGTTGAAAGTTCTTCCACTGTAATTGTTTCACTGGATTAAAGATGGGTTGACTAATGATTCTTCTGAAAAGAATGCCTTTTATCATGGGAAGCTGATTATGTTCTCTTGCCATTATTAAATAAATTTTTTTGTTTGAAAAACAAAATCGGGAAATAACAAACCTGATGAGCTTTGTAGTTCAGCTGAGTTGCATTCCTATTCTGTTCTATGATCAGATTCCTGGCCAGACTCCATCTCTTACAAAGAGAAATTATCTATGGCTTTAATAGTGAATATCATTGTTAATCAAAAAGAGCTTGTGGTACATCACGGGACATGCAGTCTGACCAAAAAGCCAAAGCAGTAGGAGAGAATTTGACTTGTTATAATCAAACTGGTGAGGAAATTATATTCCAAAGCAGAATGCCTTAATTTGATACTTCTATTAGGAAAATATTTTATAGAGAAACATCCATGCAGGAACTGCAACTCCTGTATGCTGGGTAGGAAAGAGGCAGGCCCACTGAGTGCTTTGTGTGTCTGGATGGCCTCTTTAAGGCTCCAGCCATGGCTGGCACTTAGGTAAGGTGTCTTTGGTTTGCTGCTCAGGAGAGCGTGTTGGTTACTGCTGCCTTTCCTCCTTTCTTCAGAGAGGACCTCAATAAGCAGATCCTGGACATGCTTTTCTCGTGGGCTCAGCAGAACTCAGAGGACCCTGACTGTGTGAGCAAGCTGATCAGAGCCCTGAAAGAGAGTGGCCGCCAGGACATCGCTGATGAGGTGGAAGCCATCGTTGAGCTGGGGCGGCAGAAATACAGCGAGTCCATCCGCCGGCTGGGCCTGGAGCAGGAGAGCAGCACTGAGGACTCTACAATAGCTGTGATTAGCACCTAGTAGAGAAAAATGGGGGTTGTGTGGGATCCCTCTGTGTACCCAGAGTGATGGTGCCTGGGGACTGCTCCCTCCTCAAGGGCCTGAGGCTTCCTGAGGAGCTGGGCATTGATTCTCTCGGGTCTGTACTCACATGCCACTTCTGACAATCCCAGGAAGTTTAGAGTGCATTTATGAACCCTTTTTCTACTTCCACTTTGTGACCTTCAGCTTTAGCTTTCAGAAATGTGGAGAAATTTAGAGACTAAAGTGTTTGTCTGTCAGCTGAGTAGTGGCTTAAGTAATGTTTGGTGAGTTAATACTCATGTTACATGTATTTATTTATAACTTATTCCTGAAACTGGAAACACTGGGTGTGAGCATTTGGGTCCATTTGTGCACCAGTGTTTGATAGGAGTGGAGGTGCAGTCATGTTATGAAGGTCTGTGATGAAGGCCTGTGACGTGGTGGGGACTGTTGAGCCATTTCTTTCAATTATGTGTTCTGCTCACATGAAAATGTGAACTGTATTCCCCATGAAAATCCAAATCTCTTCCAGTTCCCTTAAGTCCAAACAAAACCTAAGTATTTGTGGGGAAAAAAAAACCCAACTGATTTCTAGAAAAATTACTCTTTTCTTTTGGTTTTGCTCCAAAAGCCATCATGAAACAAACAGCCTGCTGCACCTGCAAGCAGTTTTTTAGACGACACCTACATACTGGTGATCTTTGACAAAGTTCTAGTTTTATTTTATTAAAAAAAAAAAAAAAGTAAAAATCCATGACCTCTTCTGGGCCAGACTCTAATTTTAGTGCAATTCAAATTTCCCTTGCAGTTTCCAAGGGGTAGTCCTCATATCTTCCCAGTGAAATGTGACTGTGTAGTGGGGAAGGTGCGACCCCTCCTGAAGTTTGGTGAAAAGCATGACTTTAATTTGCATTTTAAAAATTGGTCTGACCAGCTGTGAAATAAGGCACACTGTTGTGTGTTTGGCATGAGCCATGCTGAGCTAACTTCCCAGTTTTTCAGCCTGAATATCTTGCATGAGTCTGGAAGCATTTGCTGCTTTTTAGCTGCTCAATGATTTATTACTGAGGTGCCATTCTCTTCCTGTTCCCCATCCCATGATGGCCCTCAGTTAAGGATGGTGGAAAATTACATGCAAGCTTTTTGAAAGACTACTGTCATTTAAGTAAATTCAAGTCTTTCAAGACAGGTTTGAATTCAGCATAACTCTCTAAACATTACTTAAAGGGCTGTTCTTAGGCTGAAAAAACAAAAGTGTGTTTAAAAATGCCAGGTTGCACCACCCAAAGTCAATGTGCAATTGCAGGTTGGATAAATCCTGGTGTTTTCTCCCCTTGTGAAGAATCATCAGTGGCTTCCCTGATGCTGCTTCAGACCCGCCATCAGTATTATTGAAAGAGAGGCATAAAATCCTTCTGCTTTTTCTCTAATTTAAGGCTGTTCTAACATTTCAGGCTACAGAGTGCTTACTGTCCAGTCCAGAGCACTGACAAGGACTTGCAGATTTGAGCTGTCACTTTGGGCCTAGGGAGTCTGACAGATCTGGTTTCTTAGGTTGTGCTGCCCCAAGTCTCATGCTGGGTTCAAGTCAGCAGTGCTCTTTTGAATGTACATTTTATCTTGTATTCTGTGTCATATGTTGTTTGTAATTTTCATGGATACCAACAAGGTATTTGTTCTTTCCTCCGGTTTTGGAGAGATGCATTTGAGCATATTGCTCTCACTGGGAATAAAAGCAGCACTTAACTGTTTCACAGCATGGTCTGCTATTCCATAAATGCCTTGAGTGAGATGGAGACTGGTCCCTTTAAACCTGCTGGCAGGAGAACACAGGTGAGCCTGGCTGTGCTGTGCAGAAATGGGAAGAGAGCTCCTGTTTGGATATTGCTGGTTGCAAAGCACAGGACAGACTGCAGCTGAGTAAATGGTGTCCCTGGAGGGTGGCTTTGCTGCAGTGGGGCTAAGCCAGAAAACACAACGTTCAGGGAATGAGCTGAGGCTCAGCTGGATCAGGTCTAGAGAGCAACAAGGCTAATCTAGAAGGGACAGTGTGTAGGGTTAGCCTGTCCTCTGGTGAAGGAGCAGGAGAAGTCTACAGGAAGCACAAGGCAGCATCCACAGCTATAAGAGGATGAAGCTTGGCTGCACTTAGCTTTCCATTTGTGATAGTCAGACCAGAGCTGAGTTAGGCAGTGCTGAAATAAAGGATAGGTAGGCTGGACTCTGTGGAGCACTCATCCAGGCATCAGCAGAGCTACAGCTCTTCTGGAAAACAGCTGGGTGCCAAGAGAGAGGAAGGTTAGTGCCAGGTGTTCAGGGTACTCTTGTAGTGGGCTGCAGCCAGGCAAGTAAACCCATGACAACCAAACCCATGACAGCACCATCAGTAGGACAGCTCTTCAGGGTTTGGGCTGATAACCTAAGGGAAGGTAAGTGTTGTACCCCAGACAAGGATTGCTATCTCCAGTCTTTCCTGCTGAGCCATAGCCGCTGGGCTGGGCCTCCTTGTGTGCATCTGGCTTTCTCCTTGAAGTGACACCAAAGCAAGCACCCAGTTGAGGACACTGAGGTACTGGCAGGAAATCAGAGCAACTGTTCAACTCCTCTTTCCTCAGCTGACTTGGCAGCAAATATTTGAGCTGGAAGAGAGTCAATGGAAAACATTATTTTGAGGTGTTATCTTTATCAATAATCTCTTTGAGGCACAGTAAGTCTTTCATAAGCCTGTAACTGCTATGGCTGATAACAGTTGCAGTAGATGGTTGAAACAGCAAAAGAAATAACTAACCTGGCATTTATCTTTTGAATCAAAATATGGCATTCCTTTCTGACTTCTGTCATGAATTCATCACATACTGGAATAGTATCTTTCCCTTTCCAGCTATCTGGCTTTTCCTGATAGTAAAAAGGTGCATATTTAGTAAGGTGCCTTACAGTGTCCTACAGATGATCTGGCAGATTTTATGTTTTTTACTGTGCATGATCCTGATATGTCCAAAATTCTCCCAAATAAATTTTTACCAGGAAAAGCTTACTTACAAAGATTTTTTTAAAGTAAAGCAAGAAATTGTATGCCAGTAGGAACATTTTTTCTCCTTTTTTTGGCTGTGGCATTTATAACTCTTTAACTGTCATAATTAAACCCTTTTCTACTTCATAAACTTGCAGATCTCCAGCAAAATTACCTGGGTGTTTCCCACATACCACTTCAAGGTTTTTTCTAACCATGACAGTCCTCTAGCTGCCAGGAGATAGATCCAGGTAAGATGCTTCCAGCTCCTACATTTATCAATTAAAAAAACCCGAGAAATGAAAGCCCAGACAAAACTCAAATCAGTTTATTAATTCCATAAAAAATACACGGGAAAGCCTGATTATGTTCTGCAGGGGGTTAAACTGTTTACACAGTCCTGTCAGTAAAATGCTATATAATTCCCAGTAAAAGATCTGACTGAAATATGAAATTGAGAATGAACCCACAGGGGCTGTGTTCAGTTTCTCTGTTTACTGTGGGCAGGCAGGAATGCTGTAAAACTCAGCACATCCATAGGATTGCTCTAATAAAGGAGAGGAGATCTCTGTGGTGCACTGAGGACTGGATGGTTCAGCCATGAACCTACTGAACTTGATGCCAAACCTGAAAGAATATTAGAAGATACCCAGTCTGTAAGATTTCCTTCTACTGGGTACACACTCATGTTCATACTTGACAGTGTCAGGCTGCTGGGGTTTTAAAAAGGGAAATGAAATCTGATGGTCCTTAAATTCACTGTTTTCCTCCCAAGGGAGGATCACCCCATGTTTTCAGCCTTTAAAGAAAGAGTAGCTTTCACTGGGAAAGGGAGTGGGGCTGGCTTTCAGCCACTGGTGCATCAGAACCCCAGCCCAGAGCTGCATCAAAGTGAGCCCATCATGCTTATCAGTTGGTACTGTTAAAATGAAGAAAACAGCATTCACTGCAATTAAGTGTGTGTCCATTTCCTAAACTTCACAAAAATAAACTCTGTGTTCTTAAAGGACCATTTTTCTGTAAATCTGTGTCTTGAAAATCCATGAGGAGAGTTTGACCCTTGTTCCAGTTTCCAGGTACCTTGACAGAATTCAGTGACTGGGAAATATAGAAACCAGGTATGCAATATGACCATGCCTTTATTCTTCTTGTAGACCTCTTCACAGTAGGTCTGTAGGTTGAACCCATCCAGAAGTTTGTTTTGGGGGGCTGGAGCTAAGATCCTTCTGCTTGGTTTGCTCATTGAACACCAGAGCAGTTCTTGTCTTTTCCAGACAGGAGATGGTAGAACAGGAAAATGTGCAAGGGGCAGGAGGGAGGCTCAGAGATGGGTACTACAGAGCACTTTAAACTGTTTTCTTACAGCAAAGTATTGCATCTCCTGGGAAAGGATGAGGACTGTGAATACATGGTTGCCATCCACTGTTTCTCAACTAGGTGGCACCAAACGAAATAGTCGAGTTTCACCTGCAAATTAGCAAAAGTGGGTATTTTTTTCCCCCCCACTCTGCATAGTTCTAATGCTGACTCCTTGCTGTGGAAGGTTTAAGGCCAAAACATAGATGTTGTGTCAGAAAGTGATTGATTAAATACTCTAAAAAGCAAACAAATACAGAAAGCTGAATGCATTCCCACGTGGAAGGAGCAAGAGATTTGGGGCTGCCTTTCTCAGGCAAGAGTTGGATCAGACAGCAGCAACAGAGCACGTAGGAAACAAAGCAGGCAGAGGAAGCCAATCAGACATCTCTACCTGCTTTCTCTAGAAGAGCAGGATGGCTGCAAATTTTGCTTCTGCTGAAGCCCTGTGGATAAGAGGAGATCTCATTTGCAAAGGTGGGAGGAGGTGGCTGTTGCTGGTACCTCTCCTCAAAGTCATGTGGTTGAGCTTCACTCCTGGGTGAGAATGCCAGTGGTGACCCAAAACAAACCAGGTAGCACTGCTCAAAGGGGGAGACAGGATTTCTACTCGGGACATGTCAAGCTTGAA